CACTCGGGAGGCAGAGGCAGGAGGATCTCTGTGAGTTCGAGGCCAGCCTGGTCTACAGAGTGAGTTCCAGGACAGCCAGGGCTACACAGGGAAACCCTGCCTAGGGGTCGGGGAGTGGGGATGCATTGAATCAAAATACTTCTTTTGTATTATTCAATCTTTCGTGGAGTTAGTTAAGTATAGTAACATCCACAATTTAGATATAGACGTAATTCCGAACGGCAGAAGGGACAAATGGCTGTCTGTGGTGTCTATTAGATACCAAAGCACATGCTGGCCTCCAGCCTCCCTCAGTATCACAAGTACATGTTCCATATTTCAGGGTCCATGCTAGCCCTTCTCATCTCCTCCCCTACCCTAAACGCCCTCCACCTCACAGGCTTCCCTCCCCGCAGCCACTCACATGCCTATGCTCCGCCTTCTCCGCCCCTCCCCCAGCTCTCCTCCCTGCTCCTGCTCCCAGAGCCAGGTCCACTTCTCGGGCCCTGCTCAGTCTACTTCCTCTCTCTGCTCTGGACTCTTTCAGATGCCTCTGGATGTTCCTCTTAACCGTCCCATGGAGCAGTCACGTGGTCAGTGTATACACACCTGTAATTGTAACACTCGGAGCCTGAGTCAGGAGGATATTGATTTTGAGGCTAGCTGGAGTTACTTAGCAATAACCTGTCTCCAAAGAAACAACCCCTCCCAAAACAAAATAATTTTTACATATTAAAGACACGTTATAACACTCCTCTCTAGAGAGGATGCTATTACAAAGGTTTTACTAATCTGCTTAGAAGACAATAAAGAACACAAAGTAGACTTTAGTCAAAGGAATGCTCCTCAAAAGACACCCCAAAGGTGACTAGTTTGCTGACCAGGCCCGTTAGGGATGTTAAGATGCTAGGGTGTAAATGTCAATTCTCCAGGACTGAGCAGCTGGCAAGCTCCATTCCCATAACAAAGGAGACAACTCTGATTTACAACCAGCTATTAGGCCATCCTCACATCAAAGAACATTCCTCTAACAGGCTGCAGGGAGCAGAGGGTCACAATCAATGTTAAGTCCTGGCCTGCCATAAAGGCCCCAGTTCTCCTAAGACAGCACAATTATCATGCCAAGTGGGCAAAATGACCCCGATAACAACTATTTAAATAAGGATACACTGGCACCAGAACCACACAGAGAAACCCTGTATGGAGAAAACAACAACAAAAAGTATACACTGGTGTACTTAAAATAGTTCTGGCAATATGTCGTATCTTTGCTGTGTAAATTTCTCAGCGGCCTGAATGGCCAGACTGAAGATCTCCCGTCTGTTTAAACTGTTCAAAGTATAACCTGGGCCAGGACCTGCAGAGAGATGAGGATGACAGTGTACTTGGAATGCATAGGCCTTGGGTGCATAAGTTAGTGAAATCTTCTATCCAAGGCCAGCTCCACTTTGGGCATTCTCCAGAGCCAGACGTGAGCTATCTTAAAGAACATCTTCCTTTAATAATCTAAATGTGCAGAGTGATTTTTCACTGGGAAGGCATAATTCTAGAACAAAGAAAGAAATCCTCCTCTAGTTCCCAAAGGTCACGAGACAAAGATCTTTTTGAAAAGCAAACTGATTTTTCATATTAGAAACTTTGAAAGTATTTATTAACATTATGACTCTGTATGTTCATGCCTACTTGTGGGCCCACATGTGCGATCCCAGGGCAGCTTGCCAGGCAAACACCTCTATCCAAGAAGCCGTCTCGCATGCCCTAAAAACTGTCAACTTCAAGCTGAGGATCCAGCAAGCAGGAGCCTCTGGGTTTGAGCGCCACACTGGAACAAACAGCTCTAAACCTCTGAAGTGTCAATGCAAGGAACGTGTTCACAATCGATGCCTTTTCTACTGCACAAATAAGGGTTGTTCTGAATGATTTTTTTTTTGTTTTGTTTTGTTTTTGTTTTTCGAGACAGGGATTCTCTGTGTAGCTTTGGCACCATTCCTGGAACTCACTCTGTAGCCCAGGCTGGCCTTGAACTCACAGAGATCCTCTGCCTCGTGAGTGCTGGGATTAAAGGCGTGCGCCACCACCGCCCGCTGCAAACAATGATTCTTAACGAAAAGACTTCTGCAGGCAGTTTAGAAATGACAGCCACTGACCTGGAATCATAGCCCCAGTGCATGGCGTAGATCTTAGCGAGGTGGCCGCGGAGCGTGCGCCTGGTTCGCATTTGTATTCGGCCCACGGAGTCCATGTTAGACGTGATCTTTAGAGAGTGACAATAACATTGCTCTTTACCTTTCGACGTGATAAAAAGCAGAAACCAGTTCACAGTACCTGAAGGCGATTTAGTACAGAGCACAACAGAATGCCGTGAGCTCAGTCCACAGAACCATGACTGACACAGGTCATCCCGTGTGCTGTGGTGTGTGAGGAGCTCACGCACACACACAGACTTCCAAACTAACAAAGCTCCAGCCACAGTGGGCAGGAAGACAGGGAGGAAGAAGGGTGGCTGGGCAAGCCGCCCTCCCTGCAAGGACGGGTTCGGAACTGCAGTAAGCTGTCTGGAACACATGCCAGCCTACAAGCATGGTAAAGGTAATGTATGTGCAGTGTGTGAGGGGGAGAGAAAGAGAGATGCATGTGGAGGAGGTCAGAGGTCAACTCTGTGGAGCTTTCTCTCTCCTTCCACCTAACTCAGACTCTGGAGACTGAACCGAGGTCTTCAGGCTGGCAGGGCAACTGCCTGGCCTGAAGCCATCTTGCCCGACCCTATCCAACAGTTTATAAAGAACTAGAAGAGAAGCAACGATCAACACCGGAAACTCTTAGTACCCTGATTTGATTGATACACTGCATATGTACCCAGCTGTCACAGTGCGCCCAAAATATGGATGTCTTGATAGGAAAAAAATACACCAGCCATAAAGGGAAACTAGAAAGAAATGGCCAAAGAATTGTCTATAAGAAAGCCATGAGCTGGTGAGATGGCCCAGTGGTTAAGATCACTGACTGCTTGCCCAGAGGACCCAGGTTCAGTTCCCAGCACCCATATGGCAGCTCCCAGCCACTGTAATTCAGTTGTAGGGAATCTGACTCTTTCCTCTGGTCTCTGAGGGCACCACACACATGCACATACACACACACACACACACACACACACACACACACACACACACACACACACACACACACACATGCACAGTGCATAGAAAAAAAGCTTAACCAGCATATACCAAAAAGATTGAGGAAAGTGCTTAAGAATAGAATGAACTGATGATTCTGCATGTCTCCACAGCGCTTACTGTCCTGCAGACTTCTATTTCAGCACCTTCAGGAACAACAGTCTGGATGTCACCCAAACTGTGACACCTCATGTGTGCTGCTGACATGACCCGGGGACACTTTACCTGAACCAGCGTGGCATCATTGCAGGCCTTCCTGGCATCCTAGAGCAAGAAAGATGATGACATGTTAAGGAGGGGGACCTCTAGGTGGAACAGGCTTGTATTTATTGAAAATACAGCTTTACTGTATCATATCATCTTATTCTTTTTTTTTTCCCAAGACAGGGTTTCTCTGCGTAGCTTTGTGCCTTTCCTAGAACTCACTCTGTAGCCCAGGTGAGCTCGAACTCACAGAGATACGCCTGCCTCTGCCTCCCAAGTGCTGGGATTAAAGGTGTGCACCACCACCGCCTGGCTACATCATCTTATTCTTAAACTTTGCTGAAATTAATTTTACCTAATATAAAAGGGGCCATTTTCAGGTACACAATTTAGTGAGGTTTTTTTTAGTACATTCAGAATTGAACCACACCATGATCCAATTTAAGACATGCCTACCACGTCTGTCTATTTGTTCCCAAAGAAACTCCATCCACCTGGTCCCCCTTTTCTGCATGCCTCAGCTTCTCCTCCCCTCCACTCCATCCTTTCTGTGTGCACTTGCCAACCAGACCCCTCTTGTAAATCAAGTCACACAGTACACAGCTTCTTCCACTTGGCTCATTTCCAAGACTCAGCCCTGTCACTGTATCGAGCAGCATGCCTCCATTTTAAGGCTGACGGTTCTAATGGGTGGCTTTTCAGCATTCTATGCGGTAGTTGAGAGTTTTCCACTTTTCAGTATTACAAAGCATAATGCGTGTTTTCCATCTCTTTGGGAATTCTACCTGCTGTTGTTCGGAGCTGCTGTACCAGTGATGTCCAGGGCTCCAGTTCCTTAGCATCTTCAGGTCACTTCCAACTTTTACGAAGGTCTGTGCTTTTAGTTACAGCCATCTTAGTTGTGAAGTATCTCACTGTGGTTTGGATTTTATCGAGAATCTTTCGATGTGTGTGTGTGTGTGTGTGTGTGTGTGTGTGTGTATCTGTCTGTGAGTATTAATCTGTGCACGTACATCGTTGGTGTACATCTGTGTTTGTGTCTGTGAGTGTGATGTGTGTGTGCCTGTGTATCTGTCTTTCCATGTCTTTGAAAGGATCTCTATTTAAAGCTTTGGCCAGCGTTTAGGTCAGGCCGTCTTTTATTGTCCAGATGCAGTGCTTCTTTACATGTTCTACACACTTGACCCTTATAGGATGTACAATTTTCAAACTGGACAGCATTTTTAAAATCTATTTTATTTATGCATATGTGTGTATGAGTTACCTGGAGAGGCCAGGAGAGAGAGTCACATCCTTGGAACTGGATATAGGTGAGTTGTGAGTCTCCTGACGGGAGCTCTGGAAACTGGACTTGGGTCCTCTGTAAGAGCAGCAAGTGCTCTTAACCACTGAGCCAGTTTTCTGGCCCCTTGACAGAGTTTTTTGATGTGTAAGTTTTTATTTGATGAGATACAGTTTTCTGCGTTTTTTTCTTTTGCTGTTGTCCTTTGATGACATATTTAACTATGGGGAGTGGATGAGGTCCTGAGCGAATGTGTACTGTTGACATGAACATGACCGTTTCAAGGAGCCCAGTGCCTCAGACCCCTGGGAGTGGCAAAGCCTTCCAGGTCAGGTTCAGAGACTGGTATGGCCCTTCCTCCGCTCTGCGTGTGGGTGTTGACAAAATGGCTGACCTTTACCTAAAACCCGTGTGTGCAAAACTATGGCCCACAGCCTCCCCTTCCTGGTGACTACAGCCTGAGATGGCTCCCCGAAAGAGATCTCTGTTAGCTGCCCACCTTCTCCCTCCCGGCTGGTGCCGTACACAGTGAGTCTCCGACTTTCCAGGCTGCTGGTGGTGTGCTTCCAGCAGAGCACATGGCCCACGGGCGCTACCACACCTGGCTTAAATTTTATTTGTTTTATGTAAGTGTTCTGTCTGAATATGTCTGTATACCATGTACACGCCTGGTGCCTTCAAAGGAAAAGAGGGCACTGGTCCCCTAGAACTGGAGTTACCGTCAGTCATAGGCTACCATGTGGGTGCTGGAAACTGAACCTAGGTCTTCGGAAGAGCATCCAGTGCTCCTACCTTCTGAGTCCTCTCTGCAGCCTCAGAGACAAACCTGCACAAACATTCTGTATCCAAGCAACTGTGACTGAGCCATTAATAAACACTTTAGGTGTTTAGGTCCAGCGTGCAGAGACACATCGTGGGATTTTTTACTTTTGGTGCTGGGATGGAACCCAGAGCTTTACACTAAACACTTTATACCAAACACTGGCTCAGCTACTAACCTACACCTTTTCTGTTGAAGGTGGCACCATTTCACTCCCTGGGGAGCACTTTCTGTTGGCTGCTCTTCATCCCCCACCCCTTGTTTTCTCGCCTCCTTCTTTCTCATAACATCTCTACAGACTGTATTCTTGGCTTTTACACTGTCTCTAACAGTGTATCATGTGAAACCTTCCTGATGCTGCAACCCTTTAATACAGTTCCTCACATTGTGCTGACCCCCAACCATAAGATTATTATTATTATTATTTTTGCTACTTTATAACTGTAATTTTGCTACTGGTATGAATCGTAATGTAAATATCTGGTTTACTGGTTTTCTGGTGGTCTTGGGTGACCCCTGTGAAAAGGCTGTTTGACCACTTCAGGGGTCACAAACCTACGTGTTGAGAACCACTGGTCTTGAGCTAGCCAATCATCTACACTGGCAAGGGCCTCCAACTACATTGCTGGTTATCAGGCCTTCTCCCTTGGTTCCTCACTGACATCTGTAAATGGTTTTAGCTTGTACTTTCCTCTGTGAAAAGAGGCAGGCAGCTGCTGGGCTACTTACAACCTACTCCTTCCTCCACCAAATGCAAAGAGGCCATGGCATCTTTTCATTTCCAATTTTCCTTCTTGGATACTCCCCAGTTCCTGGAAGTTAGTGTCTGCTCCACTGATGCCCCTCGGGCACTTACTTCTTATGAGTGTTTACAGGCCCTTCCCTGGAGCTTGCCCACAGCGCTTGGCAACTCTTCCCCACCAGAAGGATCCCAAAGTCTAAGTATCTTTTGTTTGTGTTTGAGGTAGACCAAGCTGGCCTTGAACCCCAGATTCTCCTGCCTAAGCCTGAGCCATGCACTGTGACCACCATGACCAGCCATTCTAAATGTCTTTCAGTTTATCTGTTCCTTCTTGGCTGGGCATTTCAGTTGACTTCCCAGACTGAAAGGCATCACATTTGTCTTTTATGATTACTGTCTTGCAACAAAATACTGTTGAGATAATATCTCCTCGTGTTATAGGGTAACATCTACCCCGTGTATCCCACCAAAAAAACTATGATTCTCAGTGTGCGAAGGAGAGAATTTTTAAATGCTTTCCACTGGCATATGATAACCATGGGTTCCATTACATTCTCATCTGTGCGGACATTGGTTTTGATCATACTACCCCTATGAGCCTTGTTCTCTCACACTGAACCCTTCCTAGGTGAAAACTCATCATTACACTTGTCTCTCAGCTAGATTAGACATTCTACTTTTCATTAATTTAAAAATTGTACTGTGTGTGGGAGCATGTTGGCCGCAGTACATATGTGGAGGTCAGAGGACAGTTGTCAGGAGTCCGTCCTTCCTGCCACCGTGTGGGTCCCAGGGCTAGAACTCAGGTCATCAGGCTTGGCAGCCAGCACCTTCACCCACAGAGCCGTCTCACGGCCCTAGGCATGCTACTCGCTTTTCAGCGTCAGCCAGCACGGGCAGTGCTTTGGAATGACATGGGGAAGAGTTCTCTAGAAGCATGCTCAAAACAACTTAACCATGCCCATATTGTTTCCTTGAGAGAGGGTCCTACCTGGCCCAAGCTGGCTTTTGAGCTTGCTAAATAACAAAGGATGAGGTTACAGGTGTATGACATCACAGCTAGCTCAGGCCAACCCTTCCCGCCTCATGAATGACGTAATATGTGTTGACCAATAAGCTAATGAGTAGTGTTTATAGACTGCTGAAACTAAGCTAAGCAGTGATGATTTAAAGTGGAACACATCCTACCTGGATCTGATTCCGCAGCTGCTCAGCCTCCTGCCGCAACTGTTCCAGTTCGCTCATCCTTTGTGACTGTTTTCCTCAGGAGTCTCACGTGAAGAACTAAGAGGGGTGTGTGTGCCAGTTAATTTGTATTTTAATCTGCATGTAAAGCGCGGACATACAACTTTTTAGTCCTTCCAAATGTAAATGAAACAACCAACATTACTGGAACTTAAAATTGCTTAATAAACAAACAGAGATCATCCACAAAGGGACTGTATGCAGGAGGAGGACATGGACGTTGTCAATACCAACATGGAGTCATTTCTGCCAAACCTCCCATGAAGGAGGTGCTTGTCCACACACATGCATACCTATGAAGGAATATTCAGAAATAAACTCTCTATGAAGGAGAGCCTAGATACATACATGCCCACAAAGGGATATTCAGAATTTCTGCAGTATCCCACATAAGCGATTCCCATTAAGCCAGCTCCCCCCAGAGCCCGCACCAGCTCCAGACACAGCGAGTGAGCAATCCCCTTGGTTTCCAGCCTAGGTAGACAGTCCTCTTTTCCTTCCTCCTTTCTCCTCTTTTCTAATCCCAGCATCCTCAGGTGCATCCATGGGACTCCAGACACCTACCCCTCTGCTGTTCTAGAAAACCTGTTATGGAGAGTGTCGGGTCCAAAAGAAACCCAGGACAAATGTCTACTGTGACGCCTGTCAGCACACCAAAGCACTGCTGGCCTCCAGGCTCACTGAGAACCAGCGGCCCCTCACTCGTCTCACCCTGCTCCTACCCAAACTTCACCAGTCACGGGCTTCCCTTCCGCCGGGTTCTCACTCCTAGATAACCTTGCCATCTGACCATGAGCTGTGTGCTGTCCTGGTCCTTTGGCGTTCTCCCTTTTCCTTTCTCTCTGCCTCCTCCCCCGCTCCCTCCACCCCTCTCTCCGTCTGCTGGCCATGTGCACTTCTCTCCCTGCCCTAGACTCTTCCGGACGCCTCTGGCTGTACTCTTCTTCATATCTACAATAAAAACCTTCTTCTCAACCATACCTTGGAGCAGTCATGTCCCCACTTTATACATCTGGTGCTGCAAAAACCCACTATATACAGAGTTGGTCTTTCTATCACCTATTTAATTTTTAATTTAATTTAATATTTTAGTTTTGTTTTTTTTTTTTTGAGACAGGGTTTCTCTATGTAGTTTTGGTGCTTATCCTGGAGCTTGCTCTCTAGACCAGGCTGGCCTTGAACTCACAGAGATCCGCCTGGCTCAGCCTCCCAGGTGCTGGGATTAAGGTGTGTGCCATCACCACCTGGCTCTATCACTTATCTTAGGTCAACAATGATTGAAAGATGAGGGAGAGATCTTGAGATGGGGTATTTACGACCAAACCATAGGAACTGATAATAGACAGGTCTAGGGAGAGGCTGGCTTGTGATTTCATCCTGTCTTTTGTTTGTTTTTGAGACAGGGTCTCACTATGTAGATCAGGTTGGCCTCGAACTCTGAGATCCACCTGACTTTGCCTGGTTGCAAGTTCTGAGATTAAGGCACACACCATGGCCAGCCTGAAGCTGGTTTGAATGGATCCTTCTGCTTTCACCTCCCAAGTGCTAGAATAACAGGTATGATGGTTTGGAGGAGAATGGCCTCAAAGGCTCATATATCTGAATGCTTGGTCCCCAGTTGGTGGGACTGTTTAGGAAGGATTAGGAGGTGTGGCCTTGCTGGAGTAGGTGTGGCTTTGTTGGAGGAAGTGTGTCACTAGTGGTGGACTTCAGGTTTTAAAAGCCCATGCCAGGCTCAGTTTCTCTTCTCTGCCTCCAATTAATGGATCAGAATGTGAGCTCTCGGCTACTGCTCCAGCACCATGCCTGCCTGCCTGCTACCATACTTCCTACCATGATGGTCATAGACTCATCCTCTGAAACAAGCAAGTCCTCAAATAAAGGCTTTCTTTTGTAAGTTGCCTTGGTCATGGTGTCTCTTCACAGCAACAGAAAACTAACTACGACAAGAGGTGTGGGCCACCACACCCAACTTGGATGGCTTTACATGCAACTCAAACTTAGTGTTTCAAAGCTGATCTCCACACACCCCAATTCTCCTGTATTTCAGACAATGGTAATTCTATTGCTGTAACTATTTGAGTTCAGAAACAAAAACCCTAGGAATCATTCATTTCCATTTCCCTCAGACCTTCCAGTCTATTCCATTAGCAATCCTGTCATCTGTCCCAGGAGCTGATGGAGTCTGCCTGCCTCTAGTGCTATTAATTTGGTCAAGCCACCATTCTCTCACCTGACCTCTTCTCTTCTGCCCTTGACTTTTCCCTACTCCTGTCGAGAGCAGGCACTCAAAGCTGAATTCTCTCTCTGTGTGTGCATGTGTTCATGTATACATGTGAGCGCACACACACAAGAGCTCACGTGAAAACCAGGACAACCTGGGTGTCTTAGGGTTACTACTGCAGTGATAAAACACCAAGACCAAAGCAACTTGCTGAGATGGGAGGGTTAATTTGGCTTACACTTCCATATCACTTTTCATCATTGAAGGAAGTCAAACAGGGCAGAAACCTGGAGGTGGGAGCTGATGCAGAGGCCGGGGGCAGGGGCGGGGGTTGTTTACTGGCTTGTCCCTCATGGCTTACTCAGCCTGCTTTCTTATAGAACCCAAGACACCAGCCCAGGGATGGCTCCACCCACAATGGGCTGGGCTCTCCCCCATTGATCACTGATCAAGAAAACGCCCTACAGACTTGCCTACAGCCTGATCATATGAAAGCATTTTCTCAATTAAGATTTCCTCCTCTCAGATGACTTTAGCTTGTGTCAAATTGGCATGAAACTATGCAGCACACTGGGGTATCATTTCCTAGGCCCTCTCCACCTTCTTTTGAGACAGAGTCTCTCCTACTAGCCTGGAGCTCACCAAGCAGGCTAGACTGGCAGGCCTATTAGCACCAGAGATCTGCATGCCTCTGCCTCCCCGTTGTTATATGATAAGCTTTGTACACTGTGAAGATGAGTCTCTGCCAAGGCACCTTCGAATTGGTTTAATAAACAGCTGAACGACCAATAGCTAGGCAGAAGAGGATAGGCAGGACTTTTGGGAAGAGATAGGAACTCTGAGAAGAAGAGAGGTGCGATTTGCTAGCCAGACAGAGGAACTGGGATGTGCTACTGTACTGAGGGGAGGCAACGAGACACGTGGCAGAATGTAGATTAATACAAACAGGTTAATTTAAGTTTTAAGAGCTATTTGGAAACAAGCCTAAGCTCAGGCCAAGCTTTCATAACTAATAAGTCTCTGTGTCATTATTTGGGAGCTAGTGGTCCAAAAGGTTCAATTACATATCCCAGCATTGGGATTACAAGTTCACTAGCAAGCTTGGTTTGTTTGTTTGTTTGTCTGGTTGGTTTTTTTTGTGTGGGTTCTGGAGATGAACTCAGGTTCCCATGCTTGCAGGGCAAACACTTTACCAATGGGATCTTCTCCCCAGCCCTAACGCTGAACTCTTGACCTCGACATGCAGAGGCCAGGCAGCAGCGTTCAGTCTTTCTCTCTCATATTCCCACACACCCTACACGCCCCCACCCCTCTCCTTCCCCCAGCTCTTGCTGCTCCCTGGGGACACCATTGAGCTCTAGCCTCTGTGCTTTCCGACTGCTGCGTTTTCCTCTCTCTGGAATGCTCCTGCCCCTGACATTTTCAGTGCAGGTTCCCCTGGCCTGCTCAGCTGTCACCCTGCACACCCCTGCACACCCCTGCACACCCCTGCACACACCACTCTCACCATGAAGACCTTGCCTTACTTCCAACACTACTTAGTATGTATTTGCTTATTTGTGGTCTGTTTCCGCCCAACAAAATGTACTGACTCGAGGCAGGGCCTTTCTTCGTTTCATTCTTTACCACAGAATCAGCTCCTAAAACACTTTGGTCTCCAGTAAATAAACCAATTTGAAATAGCTTAAGAAATAAAGAAAATTTACTCTTAAGAGTTGGAGAAGTCACAGTGGCAAAAGGCAAGAATATTACTATGTCAGGAGGAGAAGCTGTACCTTACAATACCCCACGCCCTATCTACGTCTTATGGTGCTTGTTTACCATACTTTTTTTTAAATCTTTTCTACTGCCTATATATTAGGAGTGAGATCTGGAGGCTACAGTATATTCAGGTTCAATATCCATATTTGGCAAGAATCCTTGTTGGTGATGCTGAGTAAGTCAGAATGATTTACTACATTCACGAAGAGGAGCCAGACGTTAGCAATGTCATCTATTCAAGTCCCCACTTTCAACCAACAACTGATCTTTTCTATTTACTAACTGGATCCTTACTATCAGTGGCTAACCATGCCCAAGTCTCTCCCCTGGGGAGAGAGAGAGAGGGAAGGAAGGAGGGGGAGAGGGAGGGGGAGAGAGAGGAAGGGGGAGAGAGAGGGAGGGGGAGAGGGGAGGGGAGAGGGGGAGGGAGAAAGAGAGAGAGGAAGGGAGAGAGGGAGGGAGGGGGGAGGGACAGAGAGGGAGGGAGGGGGAGGGGGAGGGAGAGAGAGAGGGAGGGAGGGAGAGGGGGAGGGAGAGAGAGAGAGAAAAAGAGAGAGCACGAAAGTCCATACAAGTGCTACAGCCTTCACTCAAGTGTTCCCAGGTACATCCGAACTCTCCTGACCTTGGCATTGTTCACATGAAACTGATTTTGCAGGCATGCAGAATCTAAGAATTATGGGTCCTGATGGCTGCCACAGGACGGTAAGGGAAAGCCTGGTGGCCATGCAGCATGCTGTGGGTCAGTCCCACAGTCTAGCCCCTAGGAGGGTGATGTGTGGTGGAGATGAGGGAGTGAGGCTGATGCTGCCATGGAGACACAGGAAGGTGAAGATCTGGGCAATGTGCTACAGACAGCAGGCAAAGCCAGCACGGCATGGGAGCCACATGGGCTGCCACCAGCACCGCTGCAGAAAGCCCTCCGCAGCCATGGTGGGAGCAGACCGGGGAGCACTCAGATGACATACAGGGAGCACTCAGATGACATACAGGGAGCACTCAGATGACGACATACAGGGAGCACTCAGATGACATACAGGGA